GGATTTTTTTTGAAAAAGCTAAAACTAGTTCGACCACATAATTCAGTTCTACCATTCTTGGTTATGTACCCAAAGAATTCTATATCTTACTACGAAGATATTGATGCTCTGCTCATAAAAGCTAGGAAGCAAAAACAGTCTAGATATCCATCAACTGAAAAATAAAGAATACAAATGGACTATTACTCAGCTATTAGGAAAAAATTAAATGAAACTAAAAGGTAAATGGATGAAGACAGTCATTCTGAATGAGGTAACTGAGATTCAGACAAAAGTCAAATGTTTTCTCTCAATTGTACATGTTAGTTTTGAATTTTTAGATGTATGTGTTTTATTTGGAATGCCCACATAGGTAAGGAAATTACTAAAGGCCCACAGGGGAGAGTGTTCAGGGGGAGTAGATAGAATGCACTGACACAATGGGTTAAAAAAGATTTAAAGAATAGGAAGGTTTAGATTGTGATATGGGAGGGAAAGCAGAGTAGGAGAGGAAAACTGGGAGGGATTAAAAAAAAACAAAGACTTTTCAAAAACTCATATTACTACTTAGAGGCTTCATAAAATGCAGCCACTCCTGATGAGATCTGATAGACTAAGATCAGAAGGAAGGAGAGGAGGACCTCCCCTATCAGTGGACTTGGGGAGGGGCATGCATGAAGAAAGGGGTAGGAGGGTGGGATCGGGAGGGGAAGAGGGAGGGGCTTATGGGGGGATACAAAGTGAATAAAGTGTAATTAATAAAAAAAATGCCAATGAAGCAAGAGAACATAAAAAAAACAACAACAAGGAAATCATGGAATTTGCAAGCAAATGGTGGGAAGTAGAAAAGATCATTCAGAGTGAGGTATCCCAGAAGAAGAAAGACACACATGGTATATACTCACTTATAAGTAGATATTAGACATATAATATAGAATAATCATATTAAAAATCTGTGCACCTACAGAAGTTAAGAAAGAAGGAGGACCCTAGGCAAGATGCTCAGTCCTCATTCAGAAAAGCAGATGGGATCATCAGAAGAGGGAGAAAACAGGGAACAGGACAGGAGCCTACCACAGAGGGCCTCTGTAAGACTCTACACAGCAGGGTATTAAAGCAGATGCTGAGACTCATATCCAAACTTTGGGCAGAGTGCAGGGAATCTTATGAAAGAAGGGTAAAATAGAAAGACCTGGATGGGTCTGGAGCTCCACAAGGAGAACATCAGAACCAAAAAAATCTGGGCCTAGGGGTCTTTTCTGAGACTGATACTCCAATCAGGGACCATTCATGGAGATAAACTTGAACCCCTGCACAGCTGTAGCCAGTGACATCTCAGTCTCCAAATGGGTTCCCTAGTAAGGGGAACAGGGACTGACTCTAACATGAACTCAGTGGCTGGCTCTTTGATCACCTCCCCCTGAGGTGGGTGGCAGCCTTACCAGGCCAAAGATGAAGACTATGAAAGACCTGATAGGCTCTGGTCAGATGGAAGGGAAAAAAGACCTCCCCTATCAGTGGACTGGAGGAGGGAGATGGGAGAAGATGAGGGAAGGAGGGAGGAATTGGGAGGGGACAAAGGTGGGGGCTACAGCTGGGATACAAAGTGAAGAAATTTTAATGAATAAAAATTATATTAAAGAAAAAATAAAAAATGATTGGAATAAAAAGAAGATGGAGACGGGCATTGAATAAGATAAGAATACCATGTTTCTAAGAAGATAAAACAATTATAAATACACAGAGAGCAGAGTAGCAGCAAACTATATACAACAAACATTACATCTGAAAGAGATAAACTTTTATACAATAATAGGGGGCGGCAATGTATCATTTTTAACAATAAACACCATTGAACAGGAAAAAAAAACCCAAAGACTTTTCAAAAACTCATATTACTACTTAGAGGCTTCCTAAAATACATTTATACACACACATAGCAAGAGCCAAAATGAAGTTTTACTACAATGAATCAACAATGTGCCTGTCAGACACCAGAAGTTAGTAAATAATATACCCAGTACCAGGAATGGGTTTCTTTTTGGGAGTTGTTGGCCAGAGAGGTATCAAAGAACCCTAGACATTACAGGCTATTGCCAATGCTCCTGGTTACCCACCAGAACACAACAGTAAGATCCTGTTGCTGAAGACACCACATAGTTGAGTCATAGTACATGCAAGAATCAAACTGGAATTGGCCTGGAAGTTTCATCAGTAATGAATAGCTTTCATAGTGCTAGAAGATGCTAAGCATGCAACCAGAAGATAAAAGTAATAATCCTACCAAAATGTGAACCCTATGAGCTACAGTAATCACCACCCTGGTAAGACATGCTCCCTAACACAATAGTAGCATGGATATTATGGGTGTAAGCAACCACTTTCTGATTGGATTTAAGTTAAACTCCACAAGATGAAACCCATAACTGGCACCATATCGGGCCAAAAGCTTGTGGCTAGACAGGCCATAGACCATAGGTGTTGTGGATATAAACATGTTTTTGTTTTGGTCCAGGTGTGGGATGTGGGGCTGATTCAGATGGTCCACAGCAGCAGTCTATTTGCCTCATGCAAGCTCTGAGAGGAGCTCTTCTCAAACTGCAGATAGTTTAAATCTGAAGATTCTGGAGAGAGAATAAATGTCAGAGCCCAGAGAGTGTAGAGCTCCGAGAAAGAACAAGGCTACTCCTGCTTCCCTTTTGCTGCCCCTGGTTGCTGTTGTGAGACAAGAAGTTGGAGATCTCCTGAAACAAGGATTAGACTGACTCCAAGGAACCTGCTGACCCTAACCAGCAGGAAACAGCTAAGAGAACTGCATCCCCTCTCCCACTAACCCTTTGTTTCCCCTACCTGGTATTGGGGTGTTAGAAGGGATTGGGTGGAGTAGGGAGAAAAGATAAAAGAAATGTAAATAAGAGTTTTAAAATTTAATGCTTACACATAGGCCATAACTTACTATTATTATTCTGTACATTTTACATGATATTAAACTGACTCCTGGATCATATCATTATACCCATAGATCAATGTATCTCTGAACTCTTATCAGAGAAGCCTCTCTCTTCAGTAGATGTGATTAACAGAGAGACTCACAACTGGCCAACATGCAGAGAATAAGAGACTTAAGAATGTCCATCCCCAAATGTCCATCCCTAAAGAAACACGTATACTGCACCCCTCCTCCCAAGGTTCAAGACCCACTGAAGAGGGAACAGAAAGAGTATAAGAACAATGTGTGCTGGATAAGGCAAAGAAATTCACATATTAACTCACAGCAGTTGTGACACCATGCTCAAGGTCTGTGCAAGCCCAAGCCAGATTAAATACCAGTTTGCTGAGGAGTTATTAAAATTGTTATCTACTAAAGTGGAATATGTCAGTTTTCTCTAAGAATGTATCCCCCAGTAAGTCAACCATGCACCAGTAAAAATTGAAGAATATTTGGGTAGCACAAATTAGCCTTGATAAGGAAGTAAAGCAGACACAAAAAAATGATAGGGAAGTGTGTGTAAAACAATATGAGATTATATTGGCAGGAAAACAGATGGACGTGGAGACCATTATGTAATCAATATAAGCCAAGCCCAGAAAGGCAAGTACTTCATGTTTTGTCTCATCTGTAGATTTAATTGTACATGTATATGTATGTAGAGAGTCATGAATGAAGATAAGGGACCCATGAGTGAGAGTAGAAAGAGATCTGCAGGAAGTCAGGAAGGGTGGAAAGAGGCTAGTAGAATAATGGGAAATCAAAGCAACAAGGCGGACTATTTGGGAGGTGGAAAGGGACCAGTGAGAGTGGAGCAAAGAGAGTGGATGGGTGTGGCAGAGGGGGATAAAGAAGAAGGATGACAATTGCCATAATAAAACCCATTTCTTTGTATGCTAACTTTAAAATTAATTTTTAGAAATTATAAACATACTTCAAAGAGTCAAATATGCCATTACTTAGAAATTTGGGAAATGTTATTCCTTAAAAATTGAAATCGTCAAAGAGCCTGCCATTGAGTTCCTGTCAGAGATAGTCCCTCTTCCCCTTACTATGGGAAACCAGTTGGTTATTGAGCTCCCCACCCCCCAAGGGAGGAGCAGTTCTGCTAGGCCATAGAGGAGGACTTCGCAGCCAGCCCTGAAGATACCTGATAAAACAGGGCCAGATGAAAGGGGAGGAGGTCCTCCCCAGTCTGTGGACTTGGAAAGGGGCCAGGAGAAGCTGAGGGAGGGAAGGTGGGGTTAGGAGGAAATAAGGGAGCAGAATACAGCTGGGATACAGAGTTAATAAAATGTAACTAATAATAACAAACAATGAAAAAAGGACCCACCAAAAAAAAAAGCAAAATAGCAAAGTGCGTTTTAAATTTTAGCTTACTTACTTTCTGTTAGTAACACACCTGAATTAAATTTCAGTGTATACCAAAAAAAAAAAAATTGAAATCGTAATATAGATTAAACATGAGGGATACAATGAACCAGTGTTTGGGCAGGGACCCTTTGGTGAATAGTAATTTTGTTAGTTATTTTTCTTCCCTCTGTTTGAGGAAGGCACACATTTATAAACAATGTCTCAATGTTAAAATACATATTGTGAATAATTTTTAATAACAGTCACAATCAAAACAATATATAGCATCAAATATTCTCTGATACAGCTTTTCCCTGACTATACAGCAGTAATTACCCAATATTGTGTAGCTTAGGTCAATTCCTTGTGCCCTATGAACTTGCAAGCCATTTTTCTCCAGATTTAATTTTGAGCAAATTCTATACTTTATTAAAAAATTAAATTGAAACAAATTCATATGAAACAAAAACAATTCAAGAAAAAGAAAAAAATAGCAACCTAATAAACATTTTTATAAGAAACATTTAATATCTGAGACAAAAAAAAAATCAGTGGTCACCTTAGCATTAAACACCATTGTTTTCCATGTAGTGAATATGTAGAAAGATCTGTAGCCTTAGGCTTCACTCTGTAAACAGAATATGAAATCTAAAATCAAGTAAAAGTTTCAGAGCCTTACCTCCATCAGCACAAAGAGAGCCGCAAAGAAGAGGAGAGTTGCCCATTCTACTCTGTGTAGAATGATCTCAAAGTCGTGAATATCAGCTAAAATTAGCAGCCAGATGGCACCCAGAATAGCAATCCATCCTGTAAAATGGGGAAAATTCAGCCCATAAAACATCCACTGCTAACACACCAGTTGATGTTTTATCATCTTAATGGTTTACTTTTTCACCGAAAACAACTGCTGTACTGCAAACTATGTACATTTAAAAGTATAATTTCTAGTTTGGCTTATGTATACATTCATGAATCAACACTGCAATCAAGATAATAGGCATATTCATCATCCCCAGGACTCATGCCCATTCATGCTCTGCTCCCCCTTTCATATCTTTCTGTCACTGTGCACACACACACACACTCCAAATAAAACATCCTTCTTTTTTCTCTATAGATCAATTTACATTCTCGGTATTCTGTATGAATGAAAATTTGTCTTCTCCTCTCTCTCTTCCTCCCTCCTTCCTCTCAATGTTTCAAATCAAACTCTGAACCTCACAAATGTTATACAATGCTCTGCCTCTGAGATATGCTCTGACCCTCACATTCCTAATTGATCTAACGGCACATATTTTTACCTGATTACTTCTCAGTGGACAGAAAAGCAGCACTGAATACAATTACTTTAAGGTTCTTTTCCTTAATAATGTGAATCAAATGTCATTGTTTTTCACCAGTCAATGGGTATGCCAATAACTGGCTATTCCATGATATTCATCCATCATCCCATTAAGGACATCTCAATGGCTTCTAGTGTTCGGCTATTACAAATAAATATGCTAGGAATATTCACAGAATGATAACTACAGTGACCTCCCTCCATGTGATCAGAGCCTTGAAATAGGGTACCAAATCAGCGTGGACCTGAGAAACGTACCCAGCTGCCTTTAGAGGTCACATAGTCATTAGGACTGTCTCTCACTCCTCACATTCCCTAGTTGTCAAAGAAGATACATGCTGACCAACATCTGGGCAGGTTCTAGTCACTTCTGGTGGCTGAGCACTGTGGCACAGCAGCTCATAAGTCATATCACATAAGGCCACTGGAAATAGTTCAGAGCCTGCTTTGTGTGATAGCTCATCAGTGTATTATCACAACTTCTCACCCCTGTTGTTCTCCTCCCCACTAGATTTCTCAGTCCCATGGACTTAGATGAAGCAACAAGATCAACCTCCTCCTTCAGTGAGCTGTGAACAAACAAGATCCACATTTCTAATGAGCACTTAAGGTAAATTCCAGCTTGATCCACAATTTCGTCTATCCAAGGCGACTTAACAAGTATAAGAAAAACCTTTTTTAATATTAATTACAGTTTATTCACTTTGTATCCCAGCTGTAGCTTCCTCCCTCATTCTCTCCCAACTGTACCCTCCCTACCTCATCTCCTCCCATGCCCCTCTCCAAGTCCACTGATAGGGGAGGTTCTCCTCCTCTTCCATCTGACCCTGGCCTATCAGGTCTCATCAAAACTGGCTGTATTGTCCTCTGCTGTGGCCTGGTAAGGCTGCTCCCCACTCAGGGGGAGGTGACCAAAGAGCAGGCCAATCAGTTCATGTCAGAGACAGTCCCTGTTCATATTACTAGGGAACCCACTTGGATACTGAGCTGCCATAAGCCACATCTGAGCAGGGGTTCTAGGTTATCTCCATGAACATTCCTTGGTTGGAGTATCAGTCTCAGAAAAGACCACTGTGTCCAGATTTTTGGTATTGTTGCTCTCCTTGTGGAGCTCCTGTCCCCTCCAGGTCTTTCTATCTCTCTCTTCTTTCATAAGATTCCCTGCACTGACAGTCAAATCAGATGCTGAGCCTGATGGCCAACTTATCGGGCAGAGTGAATGGAATTTTATGTAAGAAGTGGGAAATAGTAAGAGCTGGAAAGGACGGGAACTCCACAAGGAGAGCAACAGAACAAGAAAATTTGAACACAGGGAACTTCCCAGAGACTCATACTCCAACCAAGGACTATTCATGGAGATAACCTAGAACCCTGACAATGCAGCCACTTCTGATGAGATCTGATAGACTAAGATCAGAAAGAAGGAGAGGAGGACCTCCCCTATCAGTGGACTTGGGGAGGGGCATGCATGCAGAAAGGGGGGGGAGGGTGGGACTGGGAGGGGAGGAGGGAGGGGCTTATGGGGAGATACAAAATGAATAAAGTGTAATTAATAAAAGTTAAATAAAAAATTTAAAAAAAGAGATAAAAAAAAGATTCCCTGCACTCTGCCCAAAGTTTGGCTATGAGTCTCAGCATCTACTTTGACACACTGCTGGGTAGAGTCTTTCAGAGGACCTCTGTGGTAGGCTCCTGTACTGTTTCCTGTTTTTTTCCCTCTTTCAACGTCTGTCCAGTTTGCCTTTCTGAGTGAGGATTGATCATCTTACTCAGGGTCCTCCTCCTTTAGGTGTACAGATTTTAGTATGTTTATCCTATATTATATATATATATATATATATAATATCCACTTATAAGTGAGTATGTACCGTGTATGCTTCTGGGATACCTCACTCAGGATGATCTTTTCTAGAGCTGAGTAGTATTCAATTGTGTAAATGTACCACAACTTCTGCATCCATTCCTCATTTGAGGAACATCTGGGTTGTTTCCAGGTTCTGGCTATTAGGAATAAAGCTATTATGAATATGGTTGAGCAAATGCTCTTGTTGTGTACTTAGGCATCTTTTAGATATATGCCTAGGAGTGGTGTAGCTGGATATTGAGGAAACACTATCACTAATTGTCTGAGAAAGCACCAGATTGATTTCTAAAGTGGTTGTACAAGTTTACCTTCCTACCAACAACGGAGGAGGGTTCCCCTTTCTCCACATCCTCTTCAGCATGTACTGTCACTTGAGTTTTTGATCTTAGCCATTCTTATGGATATAAGGTCGTTTTGATTTGCATTTCCTGATGACTAAGGATTTTGAGCATTTCTTTAAGTGTTTCTCTGCCATTCGATATTCCTCTACAGAGAAGTCTCTGTTTAGCTCTGTACCCCATTTTTAATTGGATTACTTGATTTGTTGCTGTTTAAATTCTTGAATTCTTTATATATTCTTAATATAAGCCTCTGTCAGATATAGGGTTGGTAAAGTTCCTTTCCCAGTCTGTAGGCTGTCATTTCGTTTTGATGACAGTGTCCTCTGCTTTCCAGAAGCCTTTCAGTTTCATGAGGTCCCATTTATTGATTGTTGACCTTAGAACGTGTGCTGTAGATGATATGAAAGTATTACATGAGCGACCACAAAAATTCAACAAGAGAACTCCTTCAGCTGATAAACACCTTCAGCAAAGTGTTGAATACAAAATCAACTGGATACAAAATCAACTCAAAAAAAAAAAAAATCAGAAGCCCTCCTGTATATCCAAGACAAAAGGGTCAAGAAAGAAATTAGGGAAACACCACCCTTCACAATAGCCACTAATAACATAAAGTACCTTGGTGTGACTCTAACCAAGCAAGGTAAAGACATGTTTGAAAAAAACTTCAAGTCTCTGAAGAAAGAAATTAAAGAAGATATTAGAAGCTGGAAAGATCTCTCGTGCTCATGGATCAGTAGGATGAACATAGTGAAAATGGCCATCCTGCCAAAAGCAATCTACAGATTCAATGCAATTCCCATCAAATTACCAACACAATTCTTTACAGACCTTGAAAGAAAAATTCTCAACTTTATATGGAATAACAAAAAACCCAGGATAGCCAGAATTCTGTACTACTCAAGCTGTACTACAGAGCAATAGTAATAAAAACTGCATGGTATTGGCATAGAAACAAAATGGTGGATCAATGGAACCAAATCGAAGGCCCAGAAATAAATCCACCCACCTATAGATACTTGGTTTTTTACAAAGCAGCCAAAACCATAGAATGGAAAAAAGACAGCATTTTAACAAATGGTGCTGGTCTAACTGGTTGTCTATATGCAGAAAAATGCAAATAGATGCATATTTATCACCATGTACAAAAATGAAGTCCCAGTGGATCAAGGACCTCAACACAAAACCAGATACACTAAATCTGTTAGAAGAAAAAGTAAGGAAGAGCCTTGAACTCATTGGCACAGGAGACAACTTCCTGAACAGAACACCAACAGCACAGGCTCTAAGATCAACAATCAATAAATGGGACCTCATGAAACTGAAAACTTTCTGTAAAACAAAGGACACTGTCATTAGAACAAAATGACTGCCTACAGACTGGGAAAGGATTTTGTGTGATTTTAAACAGTAGTGGTTTTGTATAGGAAAGTATAACCAACTAAACTGATTGATATGTTTCCTCGATAGTCTTAGTTCACTTTCTGTTGTGGTGATAAACACTATGACCAAAAGCTTTATAGCTTACAGTCCAGTGAATAGAGAAGTCAGGGTAGGAGCTCAAGGCTGGAAGAGGGAGAAGGACAGAAAGACTATTTGAAAAAAAAATGAACAAAACTTCCCAAATATGATTTAAAAATTTAATTTCAGCACCTGAGAAAATCAATTAAGTCCAATACAGACAGAGTCAGAGAGAACCACATTCAGCTGCATCCTAGTAAAAATGCTGAAAGAGCCCACCTTACCCCAGGAATGGGCAAAGAGACAAATTGTTGGTGCTGGTGTTCTTATATCAGTCAGGAGCAAACAGATGGCAGTCTCTTGTTCATCCTAGCTTGATGACTGGCTTCGTGGCTAAAGCTGTTTTATGCCTAGGACTCAAAAGTCAAATGAAATCCAGGCAGCACAGCGCAGGAAGAGGAAGAGAAACAGATACCTGAGGACTAAAGACCTGTCTTCCAGTGCATGGCTCAGGCCGGCCATAGACACTTACTTGCTGCCACACCACACAACACAGACAGAGGATGTCATATGGCCAGCCTGCAGCACGAGCCATAACAACCTATGAGTGTGTGGTGGTCAGGTGGGAGAGAAAGAGAAGTGGAGCAGCAGAAGCATTATGAAGAGAGATGAAACTGGAGACACAAGGGTGGAGAGGAGTGGCCTGTTGTGAGTGGCCAGCCCTGCCACCTGGGGCCATGGTGAGGTTCCCAACCATAGCTGCCACTGAGGGCAATGTCTTAAGCTTTGTTGTACACAG